GTTAATGTCCAAGAAAAAAAATGGATGAAGCAAAGTCCTAAATGCTGGGAGAATGTTGAAAAATGTTAAAGCTGTAGGAGAAATGTTCAAATACGGAAATGGTATGCTTATGGAGTTCAACTTCTTTAACTAATTGTCATGTGTGCCTGACAATTAGAAGAATTTGGTTATTGGTCTATATAATACAAAGGGAAAAGTAGCAAAAGTGAATGCAAAAACTACAGAGGAATCAATTTGTTAAATGTTTCTTGGAAAGTTGTCAGTAGGATTCTAATTGGAGGAGTATAAAATGTAATAACAAGGAAAATTTGGGAAATGCAATATGGCTTTATGCAAGACTTTATGACTTTAGGCAGACCCATGTTTTGCTCTTCAGGAGCTCATTGAGTAATGTATGGCTGTTGATTTAGAGAAAACATATTTTTCATTAGTATGAAGTAGAAGGGTGGTTTCTGAATATGGTAAGAATGGTATATGATGGAAATAAAGCATACATGGGAATAAATGGAATGCTTAGCAAATGAGCAGGGAGTAAGACAAGGATATGTGATGTCCTCTTGATTGCTTCATGCATTTATGAATAAATGTATAAGGAATACTTGTTCAAATTCAATTGTGCTGATAGTAAGAGGTATTGTTGGAGACATGAACCTATGTGTACTTTGGTATGCAGATAATGCTATGGTGTTGGCTGAGAACTCAAATGTTTTTCAGTGAATGTTAGACAGATTGTATAATGCAATGAGAAATAGAAATTTGAATATTAATATAACAATGATGAAAATAGTTGTGTTGCTCAGAAAAAATGGAGAGAACAATTGCAAGTTATACACCACAAGTGGTGAAAAATAAAAGCAAGTTGTTGAACTTGTGTCTTTGTAGAAGGTTGGAAGGAAGGAGGAGACTGAGAAAATTGTGGCTGGAAAGAATCAGTGAGATCCTGAAAAAGAAAGAGATGAGAGGTTTAAAGAACAAAGGCCATGTATGAATCTGTGTATAGAAGCAGTTGAAGCAAGGATAGTGGCCAAGATAAAAAGGTACGGAGAGGTATAAGTGTGTGGTGTTGCTGTAAACTAGATCTAGCTACATTCCCTTTCCTTTTCTTATCTCTTCTCTTTAATTTATTTGGCTTACTATTTCCTATTCCCTTTCTATGCTTTGCATAGCATTGCTTATTCCAGAAACCAATAGTGTAATAGGTATGCATGTCTGTATGTGCCCTGTCTATAATTGTTGTCTAAACTAATCTTTCACGTTATCATTATTTCAGATTAGTTTTTTAGCTACTACACATAGTAATGCTGAAGAACAGGATATATTTTTATGAAGCAGAAGAATTGTTCCTTCTCATTATCTGTAAGCTACAGATGTCACAATTTTCAGAAATGTAAGGAAATCAAGTGAAATTTCTGATATTGTTTATATCAGAATGACATATAGTTATGTTTATTGTAACCAATCCATTATTCCTGCAATTTCCACAACTGTTCCAGCTGAAGGATATCCTTTGGGAAAACTGTCTGATGTAGTGATTACCATACAGAAGCTCAAAATTCTCAGCCTTTGGCTCCTGAGTCAATGATGTAGAAAAATGAAGATAACTGTTATCTTATTTGAGTAGCACAAGGCAATAGCTGCTTTTTATAAAAAGCTGTTGGGTGCATGACAAGATTATAGGGATGGGGAGGAACTTTGTTCTTTTTTTCTTCAATAAGATCGGATAGCAAAAACATTGAAATTCAAAAATTAAAAGAAGGAAGGAAGCAGACTGGCAGAGGCATCCATTGCTATTTAACAATCAGAAACACATCTCTTAGTGCCAAATGCCAGACAGCACATCAAAAATATTTTGCTTAAGTCTCTACTATTTATTCCCCTGGCAAAGGCCTACAGTGGCATCTGGATTTAAGAATCAATAGTGGCACCCACCATCATAATAAATCAGGATTGCTCCTTATAGCTAGACCATGGCCAACAGGTCATGTGTACCCCAAGAACCCCTTTGGTGGCCCCAAGGGCTCTGAAAGTGAGCAGGGCATTCATTTATTTAATTATTTATGTGATTTATATAGCCACCCAACTTACACTTGTGACTCTTGGCCCCTAACATAGAGTTAAAAACAAAGAGCAAAAAAATAGCCCACAAGAGTAAAAATTTCATCTCAACCCTAGGAAGACTGAATGGCTGTGGGTTTTAGGGTCCCCTGGATTTGGAGAGTTTCCATGATTAAATCTGAATGGGGCTGCACTCCCCCAGCCTGCACTGGCACACAATCTAGGGTTTCTCCTGGGCTCATGGCCCCTGCTCGAGGAGCAGGTGGCAGAAGTGGCAAAGAGAGTCTTTGCACAAATCCATCTTGTGTGCCAATTGTGTGTATTCCTGGATCAGGAGGCTGAGCTCATGTCATTCTGCCTTAGTCACTTCCTTGCTGGATTATTGCTATCCACTCTATATGGGGCTGCCCTTGAAGAGCATTCAGAACCAGCAACTGGTCCAGAATGTACAAGCACATGCAGTTTTGGGTATACTACGGTATGACAATGTAACACCCCTGTTTTGTGAGCTGCACTGATTCCCACTAGGTTTTTGGGTGCAATCCAAGATGCTGGTTATCACCTATAAAGCCCTACATGGCATGAGACTGGGATACGTGAGGGATTGCCTGTGTCTAGCAGTTTCTACCTCTCCTGCCAGATCCAGCAGGGTGGGCATGCTCCAGGTCTTTTCTGTAGAACAGCATCATCTTATGCGATCTAGGAAGCTTGCTGCCTTGTTGCCATGCCTGCCCTGTGGAATAGCCTCCCCTCTGAAGTTTCAGTGGCCCTGACCCTGTTGGTTCTTTGGAAGGCCTAAAATTTTTATTCTTCCTCCATGCTGTAAGGAGAGGATGTTAATGGAATCCAGTGTGTACAGCGATTTTGTCTTGCTATTGGACTGTCAAAGCCTATTCTTCCCCATCTAGACTTCCACAGTCTCCAGACACTGGGGAAAGACCTTTATGGCACCATTCGGTTGACCTGGGTAGAGATGTATAATTGAATATCATCAGCATATTGACAATATTTAATCCCATGCTGATGGATCATGTCACCCAGTGGTTTCAGGTAGATGTTAACTAAGAGCAAACAGAGCATAGAGCCCTGAGGAATCCCACAAAGTACAAGTCTAGGGCTAGATCTCTCCCCCTATTAACACCAACTGGATCCAGAACCATAGAAAGGAAGAGAACCACTGCAACAACATTTCCCCCACTCCCAACCCTCAAGATTAGTCTACAATTCATGCTACTGAGGGTTTAACATTTTTAAACTTTTTTTTTTTCCATTTTGGGAAGCTTGTATTTTCAAATGTTTAGGGATGAAGGCTTAAGGCATCCACTGCATCCCTAAAACCTCTCAAACCTTCCCCAGTTTGGGTTATTTTCCCATTGTGAGGTTGGGGGCATTACAGAGCAAAGTGGCTGCCATAAGGCTCTGCAAAGGCTTATGGATCATGCAGCCCCTTAAAACTCTCCCAACCCCTGAGAAGCACAGAATATGGCTATACAAAATTCACCCCACCTGGGTCAGTGATGTCACAATGTCATCAGCCATACCCCTGGAGCCTTAAATAGGGCTGTGGAGCCTCTCCCAGACCAAAAATGAACTAGATTGTGCCATAAAAGACATATAATACAGAAACTGCTTAGGGTTTGGATCTGATGCTCTAATGTCCAACACCAAAAAGCAGGTAGAATTCCTAATAACTTAATAAAATAAAAGGCAAGAGACTGGCATAGGCTAACTAGCCTGCTACAAAGAGATCAACACAAGTATCTACCTTAACCAACTATATTGGACAAAGTGGCCAATGCCTACACAGAGGAATAAATGGACAGAAATCTGACATCAGACATGCCAGTATTTTAAAAAAAACATGAGGGAAACAATCTGTGACTGACTTCAAAGTATAATTCTTCAGCAAAAGAATTGCAGGCTTATTTCATTATAAAACATCTGAGCTAGTATTAACCAAAATGGATTAAACAATGGGACCTCTCTAATGCCAGGATGTCTGTGTGCCACACTCAGCAATTGTTTTCTGAATGGTCCCCATCAATAGGCAATTATCATTTTTTCCAAGTCCTGTATTTCACTTCCCTCTGACTCTACAGTTTAGTTTTGCTCTCCCCTCCAAACCACACAGACATGGCCCAGGGTTGTATTCTATGGATCTGATGGGGTGGATTGTATTCCACAGTGCTTACATAGTAATAAATGTATTAGCTTTATATGATGATAGAAGACTCTGTGTTTTTGATGTAATAGAAGGGCAATGTTTCCAGATGTACACTGAATAGATAAGGACTCCTAATTGTAAGCAGATGGAAGACCTTTGGTAAGGGAAGCATGTGTACACATGAAAAAATAAATGTGAAAAATCAAATCAGCTGATCATACATACATCCAGCACCAGTGTTGCTTCCCAACATGCTGCAATCACAGAAACGCTTGCCAATCTTATCCACAATTAGTTGGTTCATCTGAAGTCATGATAATTTGTACAGAGGACCACTGTAATTATTTTTATGTTCAAGGCTAGGGGTGTGCATGCACATAGCAACACAAAATCCTACAGAGACTGAACACTAGAGATCCGGAGCCCAATGGTCAGCTCTTGTTGAGCCTTGTAGCCACCATGTGATGAAAGGAAAGGCTTCAAGACCTCGGAAACCTGATATTTCGTGGATAATCAGCGGGAGGAGGGACCAGGAGGTTACCCTCCAAAGAAAGGGCTGGGAATCGCTCTCACACCCCAAACGAGTTCAACAGCTAAGCCAAAGAGCGACACTTGGAAGCATCTCCCTCAGCGCTTCAGCACCCTGGACAGCGACATTCCCGGGGCGCCTAGAAAGGTAGCTCGAAGGGGAACGCGCCCAAACCCCTCTCCAGTCGCTCAGCCTAGCCTAACCTCCCCGCTGAATGGGGCGCGTCCGCTCGCTCGCTCGCTCGCTCCGCACCTTTCCGGATGAGTTCCTCGCTCTCGGGTTCGAAGCCCG